GGGGGGGGAGGGGGGGGGGGGGCCGGCCGAACCGGGATCATATATATATATATATATATATATATGGTGCTTTCTTTGCGGGCTTGAGATATGATCAAAGGTTGACCATGACTCAAACAATTGAGTTTTGAGGTGCTTCCTAAAAAATTCTCACGAGGAAGGCAATGGGCATGACAATGAGTGTGCGTAGTGAAATCCGTAAATTTTCGATTCCAACTTCGCTGGCCGAAGGAGCCTAGGATTAAAGATTAAAGCATACTTGGCTTTAAGACTTTTCACAACACCCAGAAGGGCCTTAAACTCAGCACGTTGGCACTTTTCGCGCATAGGAGGATCATTGAATACAGCTGAAACGAAAATCAAGTTTTCGCATGCTTCCCGAGAAACGTCGGCCGATGCCGCTGGAGACAAGTCTGGTCGATTGGGCCTCGGCTGGCCGAAAGGGCGGTTGTTGACACTCGCACTCGGACAATCCAGGCAAGGTCTGAATTTACCGATGAGGCTGTAGTGCTTACGTAGAAGCACTAGGTTCCGTTGACTTGTCCTCTGGCAGCTCGTGCTCGTCTATCGGTACACCTGTTCATAATGCTAGGTCGTTTGCTGGTGGCTTTCCTCACGACGAATATTTGATGCGGCTACTAGAGATGCTACAGGTGATGATGCTAAGACGGACAGTAACAGCTAACAGCGTTGTTGTTCCGAATGTCATTGCTTGTCCTTCGTACTGCGTTCGCATTCGTCTCGGTAGTATTCGTCTTGGTCTGCTTTTAGCATCAAGTTCTATCATAGTCTCTCTGTGACGTGACTCTTGTGGCTATTGCTGCCATTCTGAGGAGTCCTGTGAGCAGTATTGACACGGCTTCCAGGGCTGTAAATGGTCTGGAAGACCCAGAGAGTCTAATACCCCTGGAACATGGAACATACCTGAAGTAATGGACCTAGGTATAGTCCTTAAACTGGGCATCTATATACTATCAGTACTCGACCTGTTCATCTATCTATCCATCCATCTATCTATCCCTATCTATATTAGCTGTTTACCTAGCTATCTATCAACCCGAAACTGAACGCCCCGGACCGTCTTGGGCCCCCGGCGGTTTCGTTTTGAAAGAAACTTTGGAATAGTCCGGAAGATGTCCTTACCAAGGTTCTGGGGCTTATATAGAACCGCAGCGGAGACAATGGTCTATGTAATTGGCTTCAGCTTACTGATCGCCCTGCTCCCTTTGTTGTTCAGCGCACTTGCGCGGAGTCTCCTGCTGTTTGGGCCCAAACAGTGTGTGACTTGCTTGCCCGGCAACAGCACACAGCCTACTTTGCTGAGACAGTCGATGCATCAGTGGCTCACAGGATCCTTGGGCTTTGAGTTTCATACTGCGCAGGTTCGGAGAGGGGGCAACAGCTTGCAGTTCTGATCATTTGTTTCACGTAGCCGCAAGTGCAGCCCTGCAATCAGGCTTGACGCTTCGGATGGCTGTGAGAGAAAGAGAGAAAGGGTTAAAGGCTCTGTTTCGGGGATGAGGGTGTGCAGTAGGGTTTCCCAAACGCACTTTGAAGGGGTCGGGCATTCCTCAAATTCATAAATACTTGGGTAATTCTCTGAATTAGGGTCCCTTTTGGGATGCAAGGGATTACAGGGGTGCCGTACTATTTGCGGGAGCCAAAAGGGACCCCTAATTTAGAGAACTGCACAGACTACACACTTGGGTGGCGGGCCTACGTCGGATCTGGGGAGGCGTTGAGGGTTTAGAGTTTAGGGTTTGGGGAGTCAAGAAGAATGCGATGTCGATTGCTTTCAAGCTTGCAGTTTGGCTGAACAGCCCTGGTACATACCCTGGGCGCAAGCTTGTTTGATGCCCGCAGGGTCAGGTCGAAGATTCAGGTCTTGAGGATGGAGGGTTCATAGGGTTTAGGGCTTTTAGGGTTTAGGGTTTAGGGTTTAGGGCAACAGCTGTAGGGCTTAGACTCTCACACTCCCACGTGGCAGGCAAGGCTCCACATGTTCGCTTCTAGATTCTAGCATTATAGGACTTGCTTGCTTACTGTGCGGTTATTGGCTCCTGAATGGCCAACTCTGCAGGTTCAGATTCTAAGACTGCGACTAGGCAGCTCTTGCAAATGGAAGACAAGCTGGCAAACTCTTCTGCTGGCCAAGCGTCGTATCTCCGGCCTTGGTGTCGACAGCACCGTTCAAGGCTGCATGTAGATAATGCAAATCCTCTTTCCCGCGCTGAAGATTGCCGAAGTCCTCAAAGAACGTTTATGAATCAGCGATCTACGTTGCCCAACTGCCTGGCCTAAACCTTCAACTCAATAACAATATACCAGAGGCCAAGCACGGGTGGCGCAAACCGCAACAAGAGCCGCTACACTCTATGCCCAAAGCAGATCAAGTCAGAAAGCCTCGGAGTCTACGCACCCTCCCTGACCTATGAGTATGTTAGCTAATTCGGCTGGTGTAAGTGTCTCATCAACTCTGCCCAGGGGCCAGTCTTCCTCATCAGGCGTTCCGAGCGCCTCCGGGTACAGCAACCCTAACCCCTCAACCGGTGCTTGAACTGCAGGTGATCCATAATCCGAAACCTGACCGTTTTGAGGTTAATTGTCCCTTAGGGTTAGGGAAGCCATCTAGACCCTGGCTTGCAGCACCTGTTTTTGGATCCTAGTCCAAAGCAAAGGTATCTGGAATTTACCCATAGTCGCCATATAAATTCCTTTTTGGGTTACCTTCTAGCGTGCTAAACAAACTGGTTAAGACAAATCGCACCCATCCTAAACCCAAAACCCAAAACCCTAAAAGCCACGCCTGGAAAATGAGACACAGCTGCTCCAGGTCGCTGCCCCCGGGGAACAGGGCATCCGCGGCCACTGAGATCAACTCTGCGAAGCTGCAGCCTGTGGCCCACAAGTCCACACCTGCGATGTTTTCAACCCTGTAAAAAGTCTAAAGATACCCAAAAACCCCTAAACCCTATAAACTCTAAAGATACCCTAAGCCCATAGACCATAAACCCAAAAACAACTAAACCACATTAAAGGATGAGGATCAAGGTTTAGAATAGGCTTGGAGAGGCTTCAATCTTCAAGGTTTGGAGCTTAGGGCTCACGGTTTAGGGTTTAGGGTTTATCGGGGTTAGAGTTTAGGGTTTAGGGTTTAGGGGTTAGAGTTTAGAATTTAGGGCTTTTTTTGGTGCTGGTTTTACCGTCGCGCAGGGCTCTTTTGGGATATTGGCCTCTTGCCGAACAACTCCTATGTAAAGTCCTGCCGTTGGCCGGGCCCTTCAACGTATACTAGGATTGTATACACACCCCTAAACCCCAAACCTTAAACAAACAATATGCAGCCTACCTATGCAGATACTAAGACTGAGAGTCCATGTGCTTAGGGCTTTTTGGGGGTGTAAGAATCTTAAAACTGCAGCAGAGCCCCGGTAGTAAGTCAGGCTTCTAAATTGCCCGGAGCTTAAGGCTCTGGGCTCCATCTAAGTTGAAGGCCAGAGGCATTTTGGTTAAGCTTTCGGGCTTGGGGTTTCAACAAAGTCGAGCTTTAGGCCTTGAGCCTTTGGAAGCAGGTTTTTGTTTTCAACGACCCTTTTTCCATCCTGCAGCAGTCTCAAAAGCCGCAGGGTTTAGGATTGAGGATAAATTAGCAACAAGTAAGTGTCGATAAGTGTGCTGGTAACTTTACCGGCCCCCCGCCATGCACAGCGGACTGCTGACTGTGCTAGCTTAGGCCCAGGCATGATCAAGGCTTGAGGCTTCCGGGCGGGTGTTCTGGATTTAGGGTTTTGGTTTAGGGTTTAGGGTTTAGGGGTTTAGGGTTTAGGGTTAGGCTTGGATTTTAGACTTTAAGATGTGGTTTAAGATTTGGGGACCAGCTAGCATCCCAACACCAACCGTGCCAAGCTGCCAAAGGAGTAGTCAACGGAGCCAAACAGCATCTCTGGCGACTTGTACCACCGAGTGCAGACGTCCCGCGTCATCCTCAACAAAACTACAGAACTAGCCCAAGAAGCACATAAGCTAAAAATAGGATAGGGATATCCCATATAAGTCCCCTCATAATGAAGCCCAATAAAATAGGCATATCCCTATAAAATGCTTATGCTTATGTCCTTTTTGAGCTCCTAAAGAACCAGCCCAAAAAGCATGCCCCAAATCCCTGAAAGGAATCCCCCTTCAGTTTGAGAAGCTCTGGGTCTGACTTGAAGAAGGAGCCATGGCAAGAATCCGTTAGAGCGGTGGAACCGTGAACCAACAAAGCCAGAGCCGAAGGCTGTAAGCCGAGGGACAGAATTCCATACGAAAGCTGAGAAACCCACCTCCTATCCCTAAACCCTAAACCTTTTTTGCAAGTGGCTTGCAACGTACCTGCTGTCCCTGGAGGCTCCCTAAACCCCCAAACCCTGAACCCTGAGTAGGTCATACTCGCTCGCTTCCCCTTCGGCTCCGGAGAACGCAATGTGGGGGTTTCCGAAAATAGGGGACCCTAATATAGTACCCTAAATGATAGGATCCCTATTATAAGGACCCCAAAATAAGGTACCCCTTATTTTCGGAAATTCTCGTGTTGCTCGGCCCCTGGACATCTAAAGAGCCTGGAGGGCCTCTAACATAGTGTCCCGAAAAGTTAGGATGGGTATTATGGGTATATTATACTATAGGTAACCTCCAGATACAAGAATACATGTGACATTATACGATTCTGTGTTATATCATACAAAAATGCAGTATATAAGTATTATACTATACCAAATTATCTACCTAAGTTGTCCTTTAACCCCTTTGAAAATTATTTACTATTATGCTTCTCTACAAAATAGTAAGGGAAATTAAACAAGATCCCAAAACACAACCCAGCTACAAGATCACATTCGAGCCCAGTGGCAGCCCGTCACCCGAGCTCGAGGTTGTCTCTGGGACTCCGGCTGCTCCCGGAGCAAACCTCCGAGGACAACGCTTCGGGTTGAGACGTCGTTGAGGGCTTAGGGTTTAGGGTTTAGGGCTTTAGGGTTTAGGGTTTAGGGTTTACTGTAGGGTTTCGGGTTGGGGCTTATAGGGTTTAGGGCTTAGGTTTAGACGTTGGGTCGTCGTTCTCAGGGTTTAGGGTTTAGGGTTTACTGTAGGATTTCGGGTTAGGTTTTATAGGGTTTAGGGTCAAGGTTTAAACGTCGTTCAGGGCAAGTCTCGCGGGGTTTAGGGTTTAGGGACTTTATAAGGGTCTCAGAAAGGCTTGAAACCACGCGTCCTAGAGCTTTTAGCAAAGACCTTACTCAGGTTCATAAGGGTGCCATAAGGGTGAATTTTACACCTGAGGAGTTCATTGCCATTGATTCTTCGGGTTGGAAAGCCTAGGGCTCTCATCTAAACCCTCAACCCTGTTTTTGGAACCCAGGCCCTGCCAATCAGCTGGGAAGCAGCACTTCCAAACGATTGCATCTGGAAAGTAGCCCTAAACCCCAAACCCCTAAAAACCCTGAACCCCAAACCCCTAAACCCCAAACAAGTAGCCCTAAACCCCTCAACCCTAAAATCCTTAACAAATAGCCCCAAACCCCAAACCCCCAAACCCCTAAACCCTAAACCCTAAAACCCTAGAAACCTAGAGCCCTAAACCTTAAAACCTAAAACCCTAAAACCCCAAACCCCTAAACCCTAAAACCCCAAACCCCTAAACCCTAAAAACCCTGAACCCCAAACCCCTAAACCCCAAACAAGTAGCCCTAAACCCCTCAACCCTAAAATCCTTAACAAATAGCCTCGAACCCCAAACCCCTAAACCCTAAACCCTAAAACCCTAGAAACCTAGAGCCCTAAACCTTAAAACCTAAAGCCCTAAAACCCCAAAACCCCAAACCCCTAAACCCTAAAACCCCTAAACCCTAAAAACCTAGAGCTCTAAACCCTAAAACCCTAAAACCCAAACCCTAGAAACCTAGAGCCCTAAACCCTAAA